ACTTCAGTGAGCGCATATTGTCCTAGAAGTGAGATGGAGCGAAGTTCAACACGGGACATGGTGAATCGGGGCGACATCTCTCTCTCGCATGTGGGTACCAGCGACATGGTGGCCGACATCTTCACCAAGGCTCTCGGCCCAAAGGTCTTCTCAACGCACTGCTACGCCCTCGGCCTTCGCACTCGACACCCGCGGCTTGGGTCTGCCTCGCATTCGCGTGGGGGGGGGTGTGAAGAGTCCACTCTCAGCTCGACAGGGGCGCCTCGGTCGTTGCGCGCACTTGCTAGCCCGCCCCCGGCGGTGGGGACTTAGACGCGCGCGACTGCCTCAGCGCGCCAGCGCCGGCGGATTCATGCGCGCGCCCGCTAGCCCGCCCCCTTGCGGTGGGGACTTAGGCGCGCCGGCGATTTCACCCGCGGCTGACTTAGGGATGTACATTGTCACGCGCCTGGGACTATCCCAGCGTGGCCCCCCCTTTCTGTTTCTTAGCTTCCTTCTCATCACTTCTGTTCGACTCTCAACCTCTCCTGACAGTAGTGGTGAACGTCTCATAGGTACGCTGAAATAGATCACTTCTGTTCGACTCTCAACCTCTCCTGACAGTAGTGGTGAACGTCTCATAGTGCGAGATGGCCGAGGCAGCGGTGAAGGGTCAGCAGGGGCACGGAAGACTGTGAGCGAGAGAGGAGAGCGAGATGCTGACATTTGGAATGATCAGCGTCCAGCAAGTAGAGCCCTTCCTCGAGTCTTGCGCCTTCAGCGATAGCATTGCCGTTCTTGTCGATATGGATGCCGTGCTTCGTGAAGGCGACACGGACATCGTCGGTGTCGCAAAGTCGAGAGACCGAGAGGAGGTTGACAGACAGGCCCGGGGTGTGCAGCACGCCGGTAAGCGTGATCGGGTGACCGGAGGCGGCAACAAAGGCGATGTTTCCCGTTCCGACGGCGTTGATGCCCCTGCAATACCACCAATCTTCGTAGGAGCGATGTGGCGATAGGCCGTGAACAGCGACTTGTCCGAGACCATGTGCGAAGTGGCACCCGAGTCGACGACGAAGGAGTTGTTGCGAAGCTGACGACGATGTGCGAGAAGACCGGTGGCGAGACATCCGACATGGTGTTGCGCATCAGAGGTGTCGGCGTTTTCCCGTCCTCAAGAGCCTTTTTGCAGTCGAAAGACCAGTGGTCCTTCTTCTTGCAGGAGCGACACGGGCCTGGCGGTGGATGCTGGGCCCTTGTAGGGCATTGTGCGACGCGGTGAGAAGGGCTGCGACAGGCGAGGCACTTGGTACGGGTAGAACGTGGCGACGACGAGGCAAGGAGGGCCGATTGATCGTTGGAGAGGTTCGTTGACCGGAGTTGAACTCGCATACGGTCGGCCACTGAATCGATGTCAGGGAGAGTTCGTTGCGTGCGTTGTTCGTCGGTGAACGTTGCCTTGAAGCTCTCGAGTGACGGGTGGGCGATCGCGAGGAGGAGTGTGGCAAGGACGTCGTTGATCGTCGTTTTCGTATCGATGATCTCTTGCGCGACCGACTTGAAGTCCATGATCCAACTGTCAAATTCGCCAACCGTTCCGGGCATGGGTCGGAAGCCCCAGAGTCGCGAGAAGAGCTCGAGCGTGCGAGTGGCGTCATCAGGGGCGTATCGCGATTTCAGCGTCGAGTAAATCTTGGGCGCTGTGAGGTCGGCCGTAGGGATCTTGTCGAGGACTGCCGAGACTTCGGCCGAGTCGATTGAGTTTGCAAGGATCTCGCGTGCCACGACGTGCGTTGCGAAGGCGTCCAATCGTCGGGGGTGATTCCGTCGAGGACGTAGGAGCGGATGTCGTCCGCTAGGCACAGGCGAAGCTGGCGTGTCCAGTTCGCGAACGTCTTCGGCCCGTCGCGCATGCTTCGGGAAGGCATTGCGATTGGAGCCGGATGTCGTGGCGGGTGCGGTAGTGCCGATGTGAGGAATCCACTCTCCGCTCGGCTCAGGACTTAGGCGCGCGGAGCGAACCGGGCGCGGACTTAGGCGCGCGGAGTGAGCCGGGCGCCCCGGCCCAGGACTTAGGCGCGCGAAGCGAGCCTGGGACTTAGGCGCGCGGAGCGAGCCTGGGCCATTGGCTCAGCCCCAGGCTCGCTGGCTGTGGACTTGGGGCGCGCGGGTCTCTTATTGTTAGCTTCCTATTCATCACTCTTGGCTATAACTACATCGCTGACGTAGTAGAGTTGATCGAATAGGTATGTTGAAATGCATTATCACTCTTGGCTATAACTACATCGCTGACGTAGTAGAGTTGATCGAATAGGTTATAAGCCCACGAGCTACCAGCCCCGCCGCTTGAGGCTTTTTCGCTCGAGCCCAGCCACTCGAGCCGCACACGTCCATCGCACCATCACATCATGGACAGCTCTCCCGCCTCGCCTTTGGCCCCCAGGGATCCCAGCTCCCCTGAATCTTCGATCGGCGAACAAATCGCCACTCTACAGGCCCAGCTTGCCGCTCTGCAGGCCTCGCAACCCGCCGCCGCCGCAGCCGCCGCACCCCCGGCCGTCACCGTCGTGCCGGGGAACGCCGCCACCGCATCCAAGGTCGTGTTTCCCAAGCACGCTCGTCTGGACGGCCCCAAGTCGTTCACCAACTGGTTGCGTCAACTCCGTCTTGCACTCCCGAACCAGGTTCGTGGTTACGTTCTCGACGGTGTCGTTCCCCCGACCTGGACCGCCGACCAGCTTGCCGCACGTGACGACGCCGCCCGGGAAATCATCGTTGGCTCTATCGACTCCGCCGACGTATCGGCCACCCTCGACGCCATCCCCAGCGACGACCTGTCGGCACCGCGCATCTTTGCCGCTCTCAAGGCTCGTTTTGCACCGGACGACGCTACACGCACTCTCGAGTTGTTCGCTCGCCTTTGGGACTTCAGGAAGATGCCTGCCTCCGTCGAGGCCTACGACACTTGGCTACGCGAGTACATGTCGATTGCTCAGGAAATACGCGACGCCAAAACATCGCTCAACGACGTGCTCGCCACCCACGTGCTCGCCATGGTCCCGTCTTGCCTCGACAGCTTCCGACTCACGTTCACGGACGACCGACGCGAAACTCACGACGCTTACGGACCGCATTCGCATCCAGCTTCGTTCGGCAGGACTCTCGACCTCGCATTCGGCCATGCTTGCCACCAGCTCCCCCTGCCCCGCCTGCCGCGCTCCCGGTCACCGCCTGCGCGACTGCACTTCACGTGCGAAGCACCCGCCCACCGGCCCCTGCCGCCGATGCCACAAGAAAGGTCACTGGGCACTCGACTGCAAGAACCGGGGTGAACAGGCACGTAGCAGCGACGACACCCAGGACGACACGTCTTCCTCCGCGGCCTCGCAACCGAACGTCGGCTATTTCGCCTCCTGCCTCTTCGCTCGTCGCCAACTCCCAACTGACGCCTTTGTAGTCGATTCGGGTGCCACGACACACATGGTCGCCGACCGATCTCTATTCACGACTTATCGTCAGACGGCACACACCAAGATCGGCGGCATCGCGGGCGGCATCACGGCTATCGGCATGGGGGACGTGGCATTCGTCGCCAAGACTGGACACCCGATCACGCTCCGTGGTGTTCTTCACACGCCTGGCCTACACGTCAACCTCCTCTCTGTCTCTCGCCTCTATTTCGCGTTCGTTCTCGCGTGCCGACGGATCACATACCACCAACCAAATTTCCGGTTTGGAGTGTGTCACACCTGTCAGCATCTTGCCTTCCTCTCACGCTCTGAGTCTCCCGTGCCCCTGCTTACCCTACACCGCTGCCTCGGCCATCTTGCCCCATCCTCTATACAGAAGATGATTGCTGCAGGTTTGCTGGACGGGTTTGGGGCCGGGTACAGTGACAAAGACGTAGAGGAGTTTGTTTGCAATGCTTGCCTTGGTTCCAAAGGTCACCGCCTTCCCTTTCCCGACTCTGAGTCGCATTCCGCCGAGAGACTTGGCCTCGTGCACAGCGACGTCCTGTCGTTCCCCACTCCGTCCTTGACCGGGAAGCGCTACCTTGTCACGTTTCTAGACGACCACTCTCGCAAACTCTGGGCATATGCGATCGATCACAAAAGCGATGTTTTCCCGACCTTCCAGACTTGGCTCGCCGAAGTGGAGTTAGAGACGAACGCGCGGTTGAGGATCCTTCGAACCGACAATGGCGGGGAGTACCGATCAAACGCATTCACGGAGTTCTGCAAATCCAAGGGCATTCGTCGTCAATACTCTATCCCTTACACGCCTCAACAAAACGGTCGCGCCGAACGTGTCAACCTCTCCATCGTCGAGGGCGTCCTCGCTCTCCTTGCGGACGCCCGTCTGCCGGCCACCTTTTGGGATGAAGCGGCTGCGTATTTCGTTTATTGCAAAAACAGGTGCTCACACTCAGCTTTGGCCAAACAGACTCCAGAATCCGTTTGGAACGGCCAACGCACCACCGCCACCGCCCTCCACCCGTTCGGCTGCACAGCCTGGCTCACGGTCGCCCCGGACCTTCGCAGCAAGCTCGACCCCAAGGCCGCGCGCGTGATCTTCACAGGTTACGACCTCGCCTCCAAAGCTTTCCGTTTCTTTGACCATTCCATCAACAAGATTGTACTTGGTCGCAATGCCACCTTCCTCGACGACGACTTCCCCGGCCTGCCAGTCACCACGCCCGTCGATGCAGACGACACCGACCGTCAGTTCGTCGTTCCCGCCGACACGCCCGCCCCTGCCGTCAAGACGAGGACCCCACTAGTAAGGTCGGCGCACATGGACGTCTCATCCTCCCTTGATGATTCTGCCATGAGCGCCGTTGACGTGGCCCCAGGGTACACTGGCGGAACCTTACTTAATTCCACAGATACCGAATCGTCCTCGTCACCGTCTCCTGAGCCGTCCTCGTCACCGTCGCCACAAACCCTTTGTCACCGTCGCCTGCGCTGTCACCGTCGTTGGCAGCGTCATCGTCACCCTCGGTCTCACCGACCGACTCTGACTACTCCGCCGACCCTCTGGACCTCATCGGCTCACAGACCCCGACTCGCCTTGGCCCACCGGACGTGCACCGCCCAGACTTCAGCACGTACCGTGAGCCCGCATCGGCTGAGGAGTCGCCCGACGAACTCGACATCATTGGGCGTCACTCGCGCGATGAATCGCCGGATGAAATCGATTTCCTCACCCAACACCACCGCGCCTTCATCGCCACAGACGACGACGACCCCACCCTCGACGCCATCGAGCCCGTCAAATCGATCACTAGCGACCCCCAGACCTGGCGCGAAGCAATGTCCAGCGACGAGCACAACATCTGGGCTGAGGCCGCCGCCGCCGAGTTCACCGCCATGCGCGACGACTTCAAGGTGTTCACCATCGAGCCTCGCTCATCTGTACCGCCGGGCGCCACCATCGTCACCTCCAAATTCGTCTGGAAGACCAAGCGCAACGCAAGCGGTGAAGTCACGGGGCGGAAGGCACGTCTTGTAGCGCAGGGTAACCGACAGCGCGACGGCATCGACTTCTCAGAAACCTTCGCACCCGTCGCCCGTTTCTCCTCCATTCGCTGCCTCCTGGCTCTTGCCGCTGCCAATGGCTACCACGTTCATCAGGCCGACATCGACAAGGCTTACCTCCACGGCGAGCTCGATCATGATATCTGGATGACGACACCACGCGGTTTCGACTTCCCGAGCGATAAGGTTCTCCGGCTGCGACGCTCAATCTACGGTCTCAAGCAGGCCGGTCGCATCTGGAATCGTCACATTGACACATCACTCAGGAATCTGGGGTACAAGGCAACAGGCACTGATCACTGCATTTACTCTCGCATTGACGATCAGCAGCGGCCTCACTATATCGCCTTGTATGTCGACGACCTCCTCATTGTCAGTCCAGCCCTCGACGAGATCGAACGTGTCATCTCCGGCCTTGAACAGCGGTACGGCGTCAAACGACTCGGCCCCGCGGAGTACATCCTCGGAATCCAAATACGCCGCCTGGACGACGGTTCCATTGCTCTATCCCAGGAGCGCTACATCATGGACGTGCTGGCCCGTTTCCACTTCGACACCACGACACGCGGCACTACGGTGCCGATGACGCCCGGCCTCTCGCTCACGGCAATTCCGGGTCAGGGAACGGAGCGCATTCGTTCGTGGTACCTACAGGCCATCGGCTCCCTCCTCTACATCTCCCTTGGCACTCGACCCGACATTGCCTTCGCCGTCTCGTACCTGTCCCGGTTCGCCAACAACCCCGGCCGCCGCCATTGGATTGCCGTCAAACACGTCCTTCGCTACCTTCGCGCCACGTACCGCGATGAGCTTCTCTATGCCCGCGGCCCAGCAAAAGTCACGGGTGTGGTTGGTTATTCTGATGCGAACTGGGGCGCCTGCGTCGACACATCCATTTCAACGATGGGCTACGTATTTTACTTGGCAGGCGCCGCTGTCTCTTGGTCGTCGAAGCGTCAGACTCGGGTAGCGGATTCCACCACTGATGCCGAGTACCTGGCCTTGTCGCACGCGGGTAAGGAAGCGATCTACCTTAACCAACTCCTCTCCGAGCTCCACGTTTGCCCAATCGCTGCAGCTCACATCTTCACCGACAACGAGGCCGCGGCCGCCGTCGCTCACGACCCCGTTCGCACCTCCGGCACCCGGCACATTCGCCTCCGCGAGCATTTTGTCCGTGACATGGTCAATCGAGGTGATATCTCTCTCTCACACGTTGGCACAGCAGACATGGTTGCGGACGTATTCACCAAAGCGCTAGGCCCCAAGATTTTTGGTACACATTGCTATGCTCTAGGCCTCCGGACGCGACATCCACGGCTCAAGTCTACCTCGCGTTCGCGTGGGGGGGGGTGTGAGGAATCCACTCTCCGCTCGGCTCAGGACTTAGGCGCGCGGAGCGAACCGGGCGCGGACTTAGGCGCGCGGAGTGAGCCGGGCGCCCCGGCCCAGGACTTAGGCGCGCGAAGCGAGCCTGGGACTTAGGCGCGCGGAGCGAGCCTGGGCCATTGGCTCAGCCCCAGGCTCGCTGGCTGTGGACTTGGGGCGCGCGGGTCTCTTATTGTTAGCTTCCTATTCATCACTCTTGGCTATAACTACATCGCTGACGTAGTAGAGTTGATCGAATAGGTATGTTGAAATGCATTTGATCACTCTTGGCTATAACTACATCGCTGACGTAGTAGAGTTGATCGAATACCGGAAGCGGCAGCGGTGAGTCCCGACAGCAGCGATGTAAAAGCTGTTCGGCGGGAAACGTCGCCGACGTGTCCATGCCAGCGGTAGCTCGATGGGTGAGATGATCACTGACAGGCAACGTCGGAGGGGATGACGATGACTACACGCGAGAGACGAGGGAGAGAGCGAGAGAGCGCGCGAAAGCGCGAAGGAGCGAAGGGGGTGTCGACCGAGGCGGCGGCAGTCGACCGAGAGGCAACCGCGGAGGATACGCGGCTGCAAGGCTCGCAGCAAGTCCAGTGTACCGAACTATGGTAGCCAACGAGGTCGGACAGAAGAGGGAGGGCAAACGATCCAAGAAATAGCTGACCAGGCCGGTGGAAGGTCGAGTCGGCTGGGCGGCGGAAGTCGACCGAGAGGCAACCGCGGAGGATACGCGGCTGCAAGGCTCGCAGCAAGTCCAGTGTACCGGACTATGGTGGCCAACGAGGTCGGACAAAAGAGGAAGGGCAAACGATCCAAGAAATAGCTGACCAGGCCGATGGGAAGGTCGAGTCGGCTGGGCGGCGGCAGTCGACCGAGAGCAACCGAGGAGTGGATTCGGTCGGAAGGCTTCGCAGCAAATCAAGTGTAACGGACTTAATTGCCAGCGAAATGGGTAAAAAGAGGGAGGGTACGAGTCATGATAATGAGTGGACCAAGCTCTAGGGGAAGGGTGGCAAAAGCAAAAGGAGGGAAGTGCTCCGAGCGAAGGAAAGACTGAATCAAATAACTACACCACGAGGTCGCTTCAGGGGTAAAAAGGATTGCCTGCAAGGCACCGGTAAAAACCCCGAAGCCGGGCCTCGGATAACAAAAAGGAAAAGAAACCAAAAGGCAGATCACGCTCCGGGCGGATCGAACCCTCGACCACTGAGTGCGCGCCCGCGCGCCCTCACGACTACACCATCGCGCCGACAATGCTTGCAACGAACAAACCGGTAGCTGATGTCGACTCCGGCCGCAAACTTGGGAGACTTCCTTCGAGTATTGATGGCAGTGCAGGCTGTGCTCCTGACACTATCCCCCCCAGAAGGAAGTCTACCGTGCGGCGAGGCGGTGACGGTGCGGAATGAGTTGGGCGGCGGGCGGACTTAGGCGGTTTCGCGCGGCCGGGTCGGTCGGAGTTGGCCGTGCTCGGCCGGGGTCGGATTGGCGGAAGGGGACGGCGGGCCGTCTTCGGCAGCGGCGCAGGACGTGTCGCGCTCGGTGGCCATGGCGATCGCTCAACACGACAGTCGATGATTCCAGGACGAACGAGGCGGGCACGAGGCGACCATGCAATAAGGCGGCGGCGGTGCGAAAACGAGTGTGGTGGCAGGCGGACTTGGGCGGGTTCGCGCGGCCGGGGTCGCGGTTGCGAAGAGGCGCGGCGCGCTGGCTGCGGCAGCGGCGCGCGACGTGTCACACTCGGCGGCCATGGCGATCACTCAACTCACAGTCAACAGCGATTCCAGGGCGAACGAGGGCGGTCACGAGACGGTAAGAAGAGGTGGGGGTGGGGGGTGGGGGAGGTGTGGGGGGTGGGGGAGGAACCACGCGGTCGTCAAAGAGGCCGAACTCGAGAGGCCGAACGGAGAGGAGGCGGACGACGCGAAGACGAAGGGCGGGGGGGCGGGAATGCTCGTCCAGGGTGTGGGACTGAGCGGTGAGAGAAGCTGGGACTGTCGCTAGCAATGCCGAACTTGAAAAAAGTGACAGGCAACGTCGGAGGGGATGACGATGACTACACGCGAGAGACGAGGGAGAGAGCGAGAGAGCGCGCGAAAGCGCGAAGGAGCGAAGGGGTGTCGACCGAGGCGGCGGCAGTCGACCGAGAGCAACCGAGGAGTGGATTCGGTCAGAAGGCTTCGCAGCAAATCAAGTGTAACGGACTTAATTGCCAGCGAAATGGGTAAAAAGAGGGAGGGTACGAGTCATGATAATGAGTGGACCAAGCTCTAGGGGAAGGGTGGCAAAAGCAAAAGGAGGGAAGTGCTCCGAGCGAAGGAAAGACTGAATCAAATAACTACACCACGAGGTCGCTTCAGGGGTAAAAAGGATTGCCTGCAAGGCACCGGTAAAAACCCCGAAGCCGGGCCTCGGATAACAAAAAGGAAAAGAAACCAAAAGGCAGATCACGCTCCGGGCGGATCGAACCCTCGACCACTGAGTGCGCGCCCGCGCGCCCTCACGACTACACCATCGCGCCGACAATGCTTGCAACGAACAAACCGGTAGCTGATGTCGACTCCGGCCGCAAACTTGGGAGACTTCCTTCGAGTATTGATGGCAGTGCAGGCTGTGCTCCTGACATGGAACATCGCCGAGGTCAAGAGGTGAGGGTTATTGGGCGCATTGGTGTCACCAAACTGCATGTGACAGGCAACGTCAGAGGGGATGATGATGACTACACGCGAGAGAGCGCGCGAAAGCACAAAGGAGCGAAAGGGGTGTCGACCGAGAGGCAACCGCGGAGGATACGCGGCTGCAAGGCTCGCAGCAAGTCCAGTGTACCAAACTATGGTGGCCAACAAGGTCGGACAGAAGAGGGAGGGCAAACGATCCAAGAAATAGCTGACCAGGCCGATGGGAAGGTCGAGTCGGCTGGGCGGCGGCAGTCGACCGAGAGCAACCGAGGAGTGGATTCGGTCAGAAGGCTTCGCAGCAAATCAAGTGTAACGGACTTAATTGCCAGCGAAATGGGTAAAAAGAGGGAGGGTACGAGTCATGATAATGAGTGGACCAAGCTGGGGAAGGGTGGCAAAAGCTATTCGATCAACTCTACTACGTCAGCGATGTAGTTATAGCCAAGAGTGATGAATGCATTTCAACATACCTATTCGATCAACTCTACTACGTCAGCGATGTAGTTATAGCCAAGAGTGATGAATAGGAAGCTAACAATAAGAGACCCGCGCGCCCCAAGTCCACAGCCAGCGAGCCTGGGGCTGAGCCAATGGCCCAGGCTCGCTTCGCGCGCCTAAGTCCTGGGCCGGGGCGCCCGGCTCACTCCGCGCGCCTAAGTCCGCGCCCGGTTCGCTCCGCGCGCCTAAGTCCTGAGCCGAGCGGAGAGTGGATTCCTCACACCCCCCCCCACGCGAACGCGAGGTAGACTTGAGCCGTGGATGTCGCGTCCGGAGGCCTAGAGCATAGCAATGTGTACCAAAAATCTTGGGGCCTAGCGCTTTGGTGAATACGTCCGCAACCATGTCTGCTGTGCCAACGTGTGAGAGAGAGATATCACCTCGATTGACCATGTCACGGACAAAATGCTCGCGGAGGCGAATGTGCCGGGTGCCGGAGGTGCGAACGGGGTCGTGAGCGACGGCGGCCGCGGCCTCGTTGTCGGTGAAGATGTGAGCTGCAGCGATTGGGCAAACGTGGAGCTCGGAGAGGAGTTGGTTAAGGTAGATCGCTTCCTTACCCGCGTGCGACAAGGCCAGGTACTCGGCATCAGTGGTGGAATCCGCTACCCGAGTCTGACGCTTCGACGACCAAGAGACAGCGGCGCCTGCCAAGTAAAATACGTAGCCCATCGTTGAAATGGATGTGTCGACGCAGGCGCCCCAGTTCGCATCAGAATAACCAACCACACCCGTGACTTTTGCTGGGCCGCGGGCATAGAGAAGCTCATCGCGGTACGTGGCGCGAAGGTAGCGAAGGACGTGTTTGACGGCAATCCAATGGCGGCGGCCGGGTTGTTGGCGAACCGGGACAGGTACGAGACGGCGAAGGCAATGTCGGGTCGAGTGCCAAGGGAGATGTAGAGGAGGGAGCCGATGGCCTGTAGGTACCACGAACGAATGCGCTCCGTTCCCTGACCCGGAATTGCCGTGAGCGAGAGGCCGGGCGTCATCGGCACCGTAGTGCCGCGTGTCGTGGTGTCGAAGTGGAAACGGGCCAGCACGTCCATGATGTAGCGCTCCTGGGATAGAGCAATGGAACCGTCGTCCAGGCGGCGTATTTGGATTCCGAGGATGTACTCCGCGGGGCCGAGTCGTTTGACGCCGTACCGCTGTTCAAGGCCGGAGATGACACGTTCGATCTCGTCGAGGGCTGGACTGACAATGAGGAGGTCGTCGACATACAAGGCGATATAGTGAGGCCGCTGCTGATCGTCAATAG